CTTCGAGCGTTTAAAATGAACACAAACAAACACAGTCATCGAGTGGAGAAATGATGACGTCCAAATCTTAAGGACGATCAAAAATGGGGTGTCTACACCGGCTGGAGGTTCCTATATGGAACTAACAAGTTATCCGTTCCCAGTCCGGAGGTTCCTTTAAAGAACTGACAAGTTATCCGTACCCGGCCGGAGGTTCCTCTATGAAGCTGACAAGTACGATCTACGATGCTCTATATATAATCTGTTAGCGCTAATGTATAAACCATGTATGATCAAGCATGAATTTTGATTTCTGGCAATGACTCAAACAAGAATATGAATATAAATCTATTCTATGTACGGACTTAGTTATGGGATATCATTCATTTAACCCTTTACTTTGTTATTATTCACTGGGTTCTCGCTCACGATTTATATTATGTATGTAGGTAATTAGGCAAGTGACCAAGCTCAGGGTTTAGGACCTAGCGTTTTAGTTTTTATCAGCCAGCCTTTGTGCCTCCCGAGGAAGTTTCGGATTAAGTCAAGTTTAGTGGCTATTTTTGTGAATATATTAAGCTTTGTTTCCTTTGATTTTCAAACAAGATTTCTGTTGGGATGTACATGGAGTGACGTGTAAATACTGCATCTTTTGACGTCACTCGTAAATTTATAAAAATTTAAAATTATTTGTCCCATGTATGTCTTCACAACTCAATGGACTATGTATAGTTTATATATTTGCTTCCACAGCCCCTAATTATATGTTATTCTGTTAAGAGGCCTTTGGTAATTTAAGGATTACTGGCTGGTTACGACGCTAAACCTATAGGGATGGGTTTGGGTCATGACAGAGTGGTATCAAAGCACGTGTTCTACCACACACACGAGTCCATATGAGCTTAGGATGTCTTAGTAAGAAGTAGGGGCATTCCATCTGCATGTGTAAGTGTGTCTCTATTAAAAGTGAAAACCTAAATCTGATTATGATCACATGATATGGAAACAAATGATCTGAATGTTGTAAAAAGACTATTTGCCTATGTTTATAATATTCTGTTTACCTATAGAAAATGGAAAATACAAGAAGTAATGGAACAACTGAATCATCTGAGACTCGAATGAGCCGCATGGAACAAATGCTTGCAGCTTTAACTGTGGCAATGACTCAACACCAACAGAGGCAACAACCCTTACCTCCCCCGCCGGTCCAAGTTGAGCCGGATGACAATGATCTCATAAATTTAACTCAGAAGTTCCTGAAAATGAAACCGTCGACTTTCTTGGGTGGTATTGAACCGTTAAAAGTAGAGACATGGTTACTCAAAATGGAGAAACTATTTGAAGTATTCCCTTGTTCTGAGATTCAGAAAGTCCTTCTGGCCATAGCAATGGGAACATGACATGGGCTCAATTCAATGAAATCTTCTGCAACTAGTACTTTTCCCAATGCTTCAGAGATTGGAAAGTGTCAGAATTTCAAAAACTAAAGCAAGTCAGGATGTCCGTAGCCTCACATGGTGGATATTGATTATAAAAAGGCGCGAAAATTCGAAGGTGGGATGGATCTGCAAGTCTTTGACCAAGTAGGCGTCTTGAAATTGCCTACCTATGTGGAAGTCTTAGATAGAGCACTAATGGCAGAAGCCACCCTAGTAGCCATGAAACAAGCTGAGGCACCAATAATAGAATGGAGAAGCAAAAGAATTGGCTCCAATTTTCGGAAGGGTCGTTCATCTTTTACAAATAAAAAGCAAAATATCGGATCTTCAAGCAGTTCAAGCCACAATAGAGGGTCTATGCCAGTCTGTTCAGAATGTGGAAAGAAGCATAAAGGCACATGTGACCGTGCATTCGGCGCTTGTTTTCGGTGTAGCAAGACTAGCCACATGATTAGAGATTGCTCGTTAAGATTCGATAATGGTAACCATCCTGTAGCAAGCTTAACCGGATTTACCGCTGTAATGAGGACAAATGCAAGAACTAATGCCAGAAGTAATATTGGGAATGAAATGCTAAGACAAGGGAGAGTGTTCGCACTAGTGCCTGGGGATATATAGAATACTAAATCAGTGGTGTCAGATATAATCTTTATCTGTGCTCATGATGCCTATGTACTGATCGATTCTGGTTCCAAGCATTCATTAGTATCGCATGCTTTTTCGCAGAAATTAACTAGACCATTAGAACCTATGAACTGTTTACTATCTGTGTCTACACCATCTGGAGGTTCTATGATATGTGCTTATGTTTATCCGGCATGTGATATTATGATTGGTAATATGATATTGTATGTTGATTTGTTATTTCTGTGAATTGATCATTTTGATTGTATTCTGGGTGTGTTGTGTCTCGACCACCTGGTGTGCCTGAGTTTATCTTTACTGGAAATAAGGTAGTTCCTCCACGGTATTTGATTTCGTTTATGAAAGCTAGGAAGTTGTTGAGAAAAGGTTGTCAGGGTTATTTGTGTTGCGTATTGACTGAGTCTTCAAATAGTGCTAGTGTGGAAACTATTCCTGTGGTTTGTGAATTTCCTGATGTATTTCCTAATGACCTACTCGGAAACCTAATTGATAGGGAAATTCAGTTTACCATTGATGTAGCACCTAGAACACAACCTATCTCTAAGACTCCGTATAGAATGTCGACTTCTGAACTGAAAGAGTTAAAAGTTCAACTCCAAGAACTCTTAGACATGAAATTCATCCGTCCGAGTACCTCACCTTGGGGGGGGGGCCCAGTGTTGTTTGTCAAAAAGAAAGACGAATCTTTGAGGCTATGTATTGACTACCGTGAGTTGAATAAAGTAACCATGAAGAACAAATATCCATTACCTCGAATAGATGACCTATTTGACAAACTCCAGGGAGCCCAATTGTTTTCTAAAATTGACCTTGGATCCGGGTATCACCAGTTAAAGGTCAAGGCAGAAGACATAGAGAAAACTGTATTCAGAACTAGATATGGACACTATGAATTTTTTGGTAATGCCATTTGGGGTAACTAATGCACCTGCGGCATTCATGGATTTAATGAATAGGGTGTTCAAATAATTTTTGGATGAATTTATTATTGTCTTTATTGATGATATATTGATTTACTCCAAAAGCAAGGAAGAACATGAGAATCATTTGAGAACTGCCTTATAGATTCTGAAGGAAAAGAAGTTATATGCAAAATTTTCCAAATGTGAGTTTTGGCTGGACAGCGTAGCCTGTCTAGGCCATGTAATCAACAAGGATAGCATATCGGTAGACCCACAAAAAATTGAAGCTATTGTGGACTGGCCTAAACCGACGAATGTGTCAGAAGTTAGAAATTTTCTAGGACTTGTAGGTTATTATCACAAATATGTGAAAGACTTTTCAAAGCTTGCTATGTCATTAACACAGTTAACCCAGAAAAATGTACCGTTTGATTGGAATGACCAACGAGAGTCAGCCTTTCAGGAACTGAAAACTAGATTGGTAGCTGCACCGATTTTGACTTTGCCTAATGGTACGATGGGTTTCAGATTTACAGTGATGCATCCTACAAAGGTTTGGGTTGTGTATTAATGCAAAATGGAAAGGTAATTGCTTATGCTTCTCGACAACTCTGACCACATGAAAAGAATTACCCGACTCATGATCTTGAATTAGCAACTGTGGTGTTTGCTTTGAAAATTTGACTATTTGTATAGTGTGACTTATGAAGTGTACACAGACCACAAAAGCCTCAAATATTTCTTCACCCAAAAAGAATTGAACATGAGACAGAGAAGATGGTTAGAGTTTATCAAATACTATGATTTGCAGATTATGTATCATCCGGGAAAAGCTAATACTGTGGCAGATGCCTTGAGCTGAAAGTCAGTGGGAATTTTGTCATGTTTACTCACCAATCAGAAAGAAATACTACATGACTTGGAAAAGAATGAGATTGAGATCGTATTACGAGAACAAGCTGAAATTGTAGCCGCTATCTCCGCCCAGCTTGCAATCATTAAAGAAATTAAGGAGAAGCAACTGCAAGATGAATTTTTGAAAAGGATTGTGGATGAGATGGTCTCAAAACCAAGGCCCAGATTTATATTGGCAAATGATGTGTTGAAATTTCAGAACAGACTTTATGTGTCGGATTGTTTTGATTTGAGAAAGCGTGTTATGACTAAAGCTCATAATTCTAAATTTGCTATGCACCTGGGGACTACAAAGATGTATTATGATTTGAAACAGAATTTCTGGTGGCCGGGAATGAAAAAGTGTATTGCAGATTTTGTGGCTAGATGTTTACACTGCCAACAAGTTAAAGCTGAGCATCAACGACCCGCTGGATTACTTCAGCCGTTCCTAATATCGGAATAGAAGTGGGAACATATCGCGATGGACTTTATTGTTGGACTGCCTCGCTCTTCTCGAGGTATGGATTCTATCTGAGTCATTGTTGATCGTTTAACTAAGTCTACCAATTTTCTGTTTGTCAAATCTTTGGATAATGCGGATAAGTTGGCTAATTTGTATGTTAATGAGATTGTGAAATTACATGGAGTTCCAGTGTCCATAGTGTCTGACAGAGACCCCAAGTTTACTTTGAGATTTTGGCAGAGTTTGCAACAAGCTTTGGAGACTGAATTAAAATTAAGCAGTGCTTATCACCCACAGACAGATAGCTAGTCAGAACGGACCATTCAAATATTGAAGGACTTGTTACGGATGTGTGTGTTAGACTTTCAAGGCAATTGGGAGACTTACCTTCCTCTGGCCGAATTTGTGTATAATAATAGCTACCATTCAAGTATTGATATGGCCCCATATGAAGCTTTGTATGGTAGGAAATGTCGTTCTCCGATCTGTTGGGCCGAGATAGGTGACAGAACATTATTGGGACCGAAACTGGTACAAGAACCAACTGAAAATATAAAATTGATTCGGCAAAGACTGAAAACTGCACAAAGCTGCCAGAAGAGCTATGCTGATGTCCGAATATGAGACAGGGAATATTAAGTCAGGGATCACGTATTTATCAAAGTGACTTCAATGAAAGGCCAGACACGGTTTGGCGTGAAAGGAAAATTGGCACCAAGATATGTTGGACCCTATGAAATCCTTGAGAAAATTAATTCAATGACTTATTTGGTAGCTTTACCACCAGTCATGGAACACATGCACAATGTATTTCATATCTCTATGCTTCGGGATTATTTGAGAGATCCACTACATGTAATTGAGCCGACTCATGTACTTCTCAAAGATGATTATACATACGAGGAGAGGCCAATACAAATTGTGAATCGCCGAGTCAAAAGATTGAGAAACAAAGAAATTCCGTTAGTGAAGATTGATTGGAAGAATCATGGAGGAACCTATGCAACTTGGGAGACAGAAGAAGACATGATGAGAAGATACCCTGAGTTGTTTCCTTTGAATCTGGTGTTCTTCCAAAATGAAAGTAACTTGAGTTTAGAGGACCAAACTCTTTAAGGGGGGAAGACTGTAACAACCCCAACCCATGATTAACGTTAATCCATGCTTAATTATGCTTAATAAGTAATTCAAATGAAATGTTGCATCATATGTTGCCTTTAACGTAGAAAGATTTGTTCATGTTTCCGTTTTGGTTTGCGAATTGAAGGCCTTATCGGCATCCGATTCTGAAATTAACTTGATTTATGTGTTATTTGGAATTTTTAGAATTTTATGGTAGGTTTAATTGAAATTTGATTCAGAATGAATTAAATTAGACTAGTTAATGTCAATTTGGTTAGCTTAAGGTAAGTTTAATTTATTTTCCTAATTAAGCCTATAAAAGACTTATACCCCACTTGAATCACTTTTTCTTCATCATTTTTTAGCTCAACATAATGTGAGAGAGAAAAAGGGAGCTAGAGATTGAGATCAAAGAGGAAGAATAAGTAATTAGCTTGGATTTAGCTTGGAATTGAGGAATCGACTTGGAGGCTCAAAGACATAGCAACTTAGAACTCAATTAAGGATCTTAGGTGAGTAATTGATTCCTAATCTTTATATTTAAGTTGTTATGAAGAGAATTCAAGAAGTTTTTGGTGGCTAAGTAAGAGAATTAAGTTAGAATCAAGGGAATATAAGTCATACTATGCATGCATGTGCATTTCATGGGGTTTTGATGTTGTGTACAAAAGAATTCTTCCATGTGTGTACTAATCCTAGTTTGGTTTTAAGAATTCATCACATTTTCTACCAATTTGCCTTAATTGATCATGTTTTGGAGAGTTTAAGTTCATAACAATTCATGCATGTCATATTCATATTATATTCTTAAGTTTCAAGTTGAACTTTGAACAATTGGCAAGCTTTTGGGCCTTGATTTCATGAAATGATCTTTAATTCTCTATGTTTTACAAGTTTAGACATGTTTTCTTAAGTTTTGGGGCCCAAAGGTTACATTTTAAAGCTTTGAATTTAAGTTTTGAGCTTGGGAGAAAATCTAAAAATTCTAGAATTCTGCTCCTACGCTCGAGCAAAGGAATCCATGCTTGAGTGACCACTCTGAGTGCCTGCAATTCCGCTCGAGCGACCAGAAGTCTACTCGAGCATGAAATGCATGGTCCCAAAAGTTCTTATGTTTTGTAGACCGCTTGAGCAACAAAAGTTGTGCTCGAGTGAGGGCATGTCTCTCACGCTCGAACGAGCGTTGAGTGAAAAAATCAAGCAACCAGCACTTTTGCAAAATTTTACAGACCACTCGAGTGACAGATCTTTCACTTGAGTGACCACTCACATTTTGCATGCCCGCTCGAGCGTTGGAAGTTGCGCTCGAACAAGGACCCTATTTTCAGCAAGTTTTGTTAAGTGTTTTCAAATGCATTTTTGCATCCTCATTCAATCCTAGACATTCCTAGGCCAAGTTTAAGACACTATAATAAGGATAGAGGAGTATGAACACACCAAGACAAGAAAGAACTAAGTTAATGATTCCGAGTATGTAATTCAGTACGTATTCGTTCTGTATTTGTGTAGGTCACGCGCCACAAAATCTTTGAATTGCCTACTCTGTCCGTTCACTTGGAGCCATTTGTTATCTGTGAGTAATAACTTAGTAAAGTTATGCTCAAGTTAAATTATTTTTGTATATGAAATAAGATCTGTCTTATGAAATGCTATGTTCTGTACTATGAATGATTGTCCACGTCGGACAAATAATTGTGACATTAATGCTGTGATTCAAGTATGCAATTTGTACCCGGACCGGAGGTTTCTTTATAGAACTAACAAGTTATCTATACTCGACTGGAGGTTCCTATGTAGAACTGACAAGTTATCCGTTCATAGTCTGGAGGTTCCTTTAAGGAACTGACAAGTTATTCGTACCCGGCTGGAGGTTCCTCTATGGAACTGACAAGTATTATCTATGATGCTCTATATATAATCTGTTAGCACTAACGGATAAACCATGTATGATCAAGCATGAATTCTGATTTCTGTCAATGACTCAAATAGGAATACGAATATAAATCTATTCTATGTACGGACTTAGTTATGGGATATCATTCATTTAACCCTCTACTTTGTTATTATTCATTGGGCTCCCACTCACGATTTATATTATGTATGTTGGTGATCAGGCATGTGACCAGGCTCAGGGTTGAGGACCTGGCGTTTCAGTTTTTGTCAGCTAGCCTTTGTACCTTCCAAGGAGGTTCCGGATTAAGTCAAGTTTAGTGGCTGTTTTTGTGAATATATTAAGCTTTGTTTCCTTTGATTTTCGGACAAGATTTATGTTGGTATGTATATGGAGTGACGTATAAATACTACATCTTTTGACGTCACTCGTAAATTTATAAAGTTTAAAATTATCTGTTCCATGTATGTCTTCACAGCTCAATGGACTATGTATAGTTTATATATTTGCTTCCTTAGCCCCTAATTATATGTTATTCTGTTAAGAGGCCTTTGGTAATCCAAGGATTATTGGCCGGCTATGACGCTAAACCTATATGGGCGGGTTTGGGTCGTGACACATAGCTTTGATGGTGTTTTTAAGTCAAGGGAGATTGGCTTTGTAAGGATAAGTTTCTTAAAAAAGATAACAAAAATAATAAAAACTATTCGTCATTTTTTCAAGATTGAACTCCCGAACATATGACCGGAATTCGGGAATATAGGGCCGAATATTGTTTATTTGTTCGGAAGCACACCAAACATTTCTTATTTGTTCGGAAACAGATAATGAAATTACTAATGAACCTTTTTCAAACTTTAAAATTACAAATACAAGTAAGATAAGGAACAAGAATTGAAACTGTTGGAAAATTCAAAGAAACTTACCTGAGAGATCACAAATCCAAACTCGTGGACAGATATGTAGAGATGAAGTAGTAATCACCTTCGTGGGTTTTGTTAGGGATTTTGGGAGAGAGGCTTTTTGGGTTGTGGGAGTGTGCATTCAATTGAATGAAGTGGAATATTTTTACAAAAATAATTTTGGTATTATTTAGGAGGAGAAAAGAAATTTTAAGGGTTTTAAAATTTATAAGTGGCGGTTCAAAGAAATGGAAGATCCACAATAATTGATGAGATGTTAATAGCAGTAGTCTTTGTTTAATACTCAAATCATGATTTAGATAAAAAAAAAAATTAAATTTTTTTTTTTCAAAACTCATAACCAAACACATAACTCAAAACTCGAAACTCAATTCAAAACCTCTTTTCAAAACTTATAACCAAACTCTATTTAAAAAAAATTGAAAAAAATATTTTTTATTTTGTTCTTTAAAACTATTTTTCATTTTTTATTTTTTTGAAAAAATATATTTTATTTTTGATGCAAAATATTTTCATTTTTTTATTTGTTTGAAAATTTTATTTTTTATTTTTTTAAGTATTGGTCAAATAATTTGTTATGATTTAGATATATATGAGTGATTCAAAATTTTTTAATATTTAAAATAAAAAATAAAAAAATATTTCAAATAAAAATAAAATATTTTTTAAAATTTTTAAATATTTAAAGAAAAATATTCAAAATATTTTTAAAAAATACAACACAAATGTAGTAAATACAGCGGACTTTGAAAACATAAATAAATATTTACAATAAAAAATATTTATCCTAAAAAAATAAAATTAAGAAAATTTTTAAATATTTTAAAAAAGTAAACCCAAAAAATTTCAAAAAATAAGTCAAAATTGAAAAACTTAAAATTTAAAATATAACTCAAAACTTTTTTCAAAACTCAATAACCAAACAATTTTCTCCTTCAAACTTAAAATACAAATTCAAAACTCAAATCATGATTCAAAAACTAAACCAATTTTGTTTGGTTTAGTTTAGAATTATGATTTGAGTATAGAGTTCTGAGTTGAGTTTGAAAAGAGAAAATTTGTTTGGTTATAAGTTTTTAAAAAAATAGTGTTTTTGAATTTTGAATTTTGAATTTTGAAAATTATTTTGAGTTTAAAAAAATTTTGAGAGTTGTAACTTTTAGTTTGAGTTTTTGATATTTTTGAGTTGTATGTTGAAATTTTTCATTTTTATATAAATTTTTTTTATTATATTTTATTTTAATTTTTTAGATATTTTAATCTTTTTAATATTAAACTTATATAATATAACTCCATACTCAAATTGTAACTAAACACATAATTCAAAACTTAATTTAAAAATATTTTCAAAACTCATAACCAAAACACATAACTCAAAATCCACACTATTTCAAAACTCCACACTCAATGGCCAAACACATTACTAAAAAATTAAAATATATTTATAAAATAAAATAAAATATTTAACTAAAAAAAATAAATATATAAAAATTAAAAAATAATACAGTACACAGATGTACATAATATAATGCACATTAAAATAAATAAATAAATATTTAAAATATAAAATATTTACCCTAAAAAAATAAAATAAAGAAAATTTTTAAATATTTAAAAAATAAATCTAAAAGTTTTCAAAATACAACTCAAAACACTTTTCAAAACTCATAACTAAATAAATTTTCTTTTTTCAAAACTTAATTTAAAACTCATAACTCTAAACTCCACCATCAAATTATGATTCTAAAAATAATTTTAGAATAAAAATCAAAATATTTTTTTGGTTTTTTTTTTAAATAGAGTTTTGAAAAGAGTTTTGTTTTGAGTTTTGAATTGTTTAAAGTTGTGTGTTTGGTTGTGAGTTTTGAAAATAGTTTTTGAATTAAATTTGATATGCTTTTGAGTTGTATATTTAGTTATGAGTTTTGAAAAGTGTTTGAACTGAAATCACAATTTCAAAACAGAACCAAATGTCGCCTTTGTTTGGTTAACAAATTTTTAAAATACAATTCAAAACTTAATTTTCTCTCTTCTCTCCTTTTTTTTTTTTATATTATTAATAAATCAATCAGTCATTTTTTCTCTCTTCTCTCTCCTCTCTCATTCCCTCACATTCTACATATCAATCAATCAAATTTTTTTCTCACACTCACCTATTAAACTAAAAAAAAAAAAATTAT